TGTAGGACCTTCCCCTCCCCAGATGATTTCAAAATAGCATCCAGTTTCAGGAGCTGGAGAGAAGTGAAGTGCAGCAGCAGACTTTCAGTAGGTAACTGCGTTTTTATTTGTGTGTAGGAGATTGAAAGGCTGAAGAGTGAAAAGCCAACTTGGGAGCGGAGGCTACGATGGGAAGGGATGAAGTCTGTCTTTGGCGGTCAGCCATCACTCCTGTGGATCAATCCTTTTGCAGGGTTTCGAATCAGGCGACTTCTACTGAGAGCAAAGAAAGGAGGACCGGAGTTTTCTGTCTGAGTTTGCCTATTCATGCTGGAACTTGCAAGAATGCTCTCTAATATTTATTTTGGGGCCCAAAAAGGCTGTCTACATATAATCTGTGACCAACTGAAACGGGACATTTGCTTGTAGCAAGCAGAGTTTTATACATTTATAGTCACAGACATCTCATTAACTTTTAGAAACGTAAACTGGATGCTGTAGTGGTCTTTCAGCAAGATGACAAACGAAAGGCGTGCGACCACACTAAAGAAGCCAAAATGTTGTCATACTACTGTAACTTATTATTTTATGAAATTAATTATGCTTTTTTTTGTTCAAACACTTTTTATTTGACAAATGTTTGGGGAATTACCTATGCGTTTTATAAAATTATGGACCGGGGGGCGCACTTACCAATCATGAGATCAAGTATTTATGGTGGAAGCCAATCTCACATGAGACGAAGCCTTCTAAATCCAAGAGTTTTTTCAGGGAACAATGGTTTACGAAATTTTCTTTTACATTTCTATGCGTCTTAATAGACAAAGCTCTTCTCATGTCCCTCTTCAAGTGTATGCTCCATGTATGCTAATTATTAGAGACTTACGCACTGGCAACATAACCATGTCAGATGCTCTCCTCCGTGTTCTGCCAAATGTCTTCCCAGACTCTCAATAGCATGTCTCGTATTTGGCAGTATTAATCTTAGATGCATTTAGGTAAGTTCTAAATGTGTAGTAATCAGTTTTTTTTTTAACTTAACCTGTGGGCAAACTTCCGCCCTCAGATATGCATCTCCAGTTCTCAGTGCATCGACTCTAAAGGAACTCATGGGTATGTGAGGATGGTATCTCGTCCTATGTGCAGGGAAAAGAGGGACCAGCTACATCCTCCTGTGGGATTAAAATGAATGTATTGCAGATGGAAGGAACTTGATCCAAAGAACAATCATTCTTGTTAAGGTCCTGCTTTGCCCTCTTTATTTTTATTGTACAAATTTGTCATGGGAGCAGAAGCTGATAGACAATATGCCAGTCACTGAGAGGAGGGAGACTTCCTTCAGAGCAAGGGAGTATAATCCCCGGCCCTCCTTTGGCACAAGGGCAAGAAAGCCAAGCGTAAAGAGCAATCCATGGCACAAGCTAAAATTTTACATTGAATCATGTTTCTACATTGCTCATTCTTTTTGTTCAGAAGCAGTTTGGGTTGGAAAATATAACTGCTTTTTGTGGGCCTGACAAATACTAGTAGTGCTAAGATGCGTTTGTAAATCTGCAAGTGTTGAAATGCAACCTGCACGTAATGAAACTCAGCTGAAAGGGGGTTAGCAAAACACTACATATAGAAGAATTTTTATATGGTTACTTTTAATTATCCACAGCACAAAGTATAAAACAGGAGCCTTGATGCATAGCTTGAATCTGTGCCTGGAGAGTAACGAGCTCCCTGTTCTGGGATTTGCCTTAAACTTGTCCAGCTTTTGTTTTTGCTCTGCCAGGAGCATCAGCAATCGTGTCCCACCTCAGGCATTATGACATGCTCAACGATCTTTCATTAGTAAGTTTACATTCAGACCGCAAATACTCTTTCTTTACCTGGTGATTTATTTCTTTATTTCTGTGCACTTTCTGATGGCATTTAAATCGTTAAGTCGTACTGACTCTACCACCAGGTCCTATGCCATGGTGCGGGTGAATTGACTTACGGGATCCATTCAGTATATCATGGCTCAATGAACAAAACTGCAATACTTCAGAATATGTATAAGTAAATGCATAAAACCAGAAAATTTCCAGACCGACACAGCCAACAAAACTGCAGCCAGAGGAACACGGTTACATGTATCATGTAAATGAGGGGAAAGTTGGGCATTCCACAAGAATCTTTGCATATGCAGTTGCACACCTTCCATAAAGATTGGGGAAAAAAATGTTGTATCTGGCTTTGTCATGAGGCTTTTAGCGTGTATATTGTTTAATGAAATAAACTGATGAAGAAATGAACCTATCACTTCAAGCCGTTGAACTTCTGTGACTTAGCAAGCGTGTGCGTGTGTGTGCGTATGCGTGTATGAAATCAAGTTTACTCGGGTCTGCAAGCCCGTGTTGCATTGTAATTTTTTAATGTAAAAATAAAGTAATGAATTGGAAGTCTTAATGTTGATTAATCTCCATTCCCTATCTTTGTCATCTGTCATCTTTTTTTTTTTTTAATCTGCTTGTTTAGGTTTACAAAATCATCTGGGCAAAGGCTGTGTTTCTGGCTGTTGAAACTTGATAGGTATTTATTACATTTCCCTAAGAGTGTGCAGTGAAGCACGCCCATTAAATAATGATTGAACATGTGTCAAATTAAGAACACAGCTCACTTTAGTATAGTCTGCTTATACACTCTTTAATGTGTTCAGCTTCATAGCTACCTAGTGTTGGCCAGGGGAGAAGCTGCTGCATCTGGGTGTACTGGAGTGCTAATATATAGCTAATAGTCACCTATATTGTATGTGCATCAGCTGCTATCGTGTTGAACTCCTGTGGCCTTAAGCTTCTCTAGAATCAGATCATTCTTGCTGAATTCTGTAAAACTTCACATGCTTTGGTGTTACGTATTCAGGTAAAATGGGATGATATTTCCGTCGTAATCCATTTTCTTAATGAAATACATCTTTCATGGCCACAGGGTTTGGAGCTCCTCATTGTAGTTGGCTTGATGCAATCCCGCCAATATTTAGCTAAATGCAAGCAAAACCCAAGTGTGGCTATGGGGAGTTGGAGGTGAATGATCACACCGTACTTGGTGTGGCCACTTGAACAGCTTGATACTAATGTGAGTCACCAAAACAAATGAAACCAATATGAACTCATACCCTGTCCATTTGAGCTTTAATTCAGTAATATGGCACAATTTTTAAAAATGGCATGATTAATTTTATAGGTTTATATTTAGGTACAGCATATTTATTTCAATGCACTCATTTTCCTTAAATTGGAGAATGTACATGGGGAAAATTGCTGTATTAATACAAGATGATGCCCTTTTCCCCCCACTATGGAAAAAATGTTGCTGCAGGACCTTTTTTTCCAAATGCAGATGTTTTAAATCAGAGTTATCTGTCATCTTATAGTTTAAGCCCAGTTTTGACCAGCAAGTAAAATGTACATGCTGCAACTTTTGAACATGGTTGACATTTAATCCTTCAGTACCCTTTTTCTGAAGCACTAGGGAAGACCTGAAAACCATGTATGAAAAAGGGGAGAAACGACATTCTTTCCAATGGTAGGCAATGTTCTTTAAACCATCCCCATAACTGTTGTAACAACGGGCATTTGGCATGCACTTGACAAGAGATGTTTTGCTGACACTTCAGCCAGATAGGAAATGCAGTCTCCTTGATTGACAGACTTTGTGTCCTCCATCCTAGGATCCTGAGGGGCTTTCCGAGCGTACGTGAACTACTACTCGTGGCTGTGGTCGTTTATCCCTCTTGCATTTCAGGAGAAAAGAGATAAGGCTTTAAAGAGTTATCCAAGGTCACAGAGCAAGGAAAGAATCCTCTTAGCTGCTCTTGTATTGCAACTAAAAGCCCAGCGATGCTCCTTCAGTCAAGGTCAATGAATTCATCGACCTTAACAAAAATAAACCTGTTGCGGCTGGGTCTGGGGCAGAAGTTCCATAAACCAGTTAGACCTAAATCAGTTAAGTACATTCAACCAGGTTTATTTTTAACTAATTTCAGCCATTTTGAAACTGGTTTATGTGCACTGAACTTCTGTTCTGTTCCAGGTTTAAACCGGTTTCTGATCACTTAAACCAGTTTATGTGTAACTTCTGTCCTTAGCCCTACTGTACTACCAGGCAATTGAGGCAGGAAAATAAGGTAGTCTAGAGCTGTTTCTTTTTTAAAAAAATGTAAATATTTGGAAGGCTGGAAGTAGTTGCATCTTGGTGAGCCCGTGTTTTGTTAAATCCTATGGCTAATTATAACATAAAATTTCTCCGCACTTAGCATGCTAAGCTTTATGTTACTAAGTACTGAGCAATGAATATTGTTTAACACAATACAGTTAATAAGGTCCTACATGAGTTGGTCTGAAAACGAGGGTGTACAAGAGAATTAATTTGCCAAATCACTGTCAACCTGCCTTTCAAACGTGGTTCCATAAGCTTACTCGCCTCTGCATAATTGTAGTACCTATGATATTTTGATGCACAGAAGTCCTACTTAATGGTCTCGACAGCATGTTGGATAGGTAAAGCAGCATTGCGAGTGCAGAGATGCAGTTAGTTTGACTCTAGAGAGAGAAACTCGTCCTTCCTTTCATAGAGCGCAGTAGGCTTGGTTCAGGATCAAAATAAAGAACACTCTTTACCCTTGCCCTGGATGTTTTTAAAGATCAAATATGGACGCTGGTCATTAAAATATGGAACAAATGACTGCATTGTTGAGACCATGGCATTCCTAATCACATCTAAGTAAGGTTTATGACTAATAATTCACCAGCATTACACGTTAGTAAACCACGGTATAAAAACTGCTGCAATACCAGATCCGTGGGATAAGGAAGTTTTGATTCCTCCTATGGATTTGAAGAGCACTGCAGACAGTCTTCTTCATTTAGCTCGACCTGCAGCAGGGGAGATGGGAGTGTACTATTTTTAATAAACAGACCTCATACTGCCAATTTGAGGGGCATATACTCGTCAGCAACCAGCAAGTTATATATATTTTTATTACAGAAGTGCATAAAGGCCCCCATGAGGTGATGGCCCTATGGTGCTAGGTGAAGTGAAAAGTCTCTGCATCAAGGAGCTTTACAGTCCTGGGTCCACTAAAATGAATAACAGATTCGTGTCTGAGCTGCTTCTGTAAAGAGGGTGACTGGTGAGGTACAGCGTTATGCAATCTTGTTAAAAGCAGGCAATTGCACTGCAGAAAGCAAGGGTTGGTCTCTATCTCCACAGGGGGGCTTGGTATTTTTCTTGGCATCTTCCTGCCCCTTTTATAAGATCTCCTGCTTCGGTATCACTGTCTGCGGCAGCAGCTGCACTATGGCCTCCGGCACGGCGCCCGGGCCTAGCTTGTAATCCTCACTTCCTGTGCTGGTAGAAGGAGAAGGGAGGGAAGTTTCAGGAGATGCTGCAGGAGAGAAAAGAAGCAAATGCAGAATTAAAACGTACGCTAAAGTGACTTGTTCTAATAAGACAGTGGCTGATTACAGACCCCAGAGGCGAGTCATGAGAACCAGGATGCGAGTTTGCAAAGAGCACCAAATTCAGTGGGTCAGCTCAGGTTTTCCTAGCTATCCTCAATTGGCTTTGTTGGTTTTATGTCTAAAAAATCCTTAGTATTTTTACTGGGTAATACACAACCCACTACACGCTGCCCTATATCATGTCTTGCCTGAAGCACTTCTGAATGGAATGACTCATCTTATATTGCACCGATTCCTGGAGTGTCTGAATAGCTCTGCTTTTTACAGCTCTATCCTCATGCTACCTCTGTGAAGTAGGAAAACACTATTATCCCCATTTGAATAATACCTAGTGCTTCCCTAACGGTAGCTCTTGCAGCCTTTTGCAGAGAAGACTGCTATCATTATCTTTATTGCACAAAGGGGGAACTGGGGCACAGGCGGACAAAGCTGCATAAGCTTGTACCAGAGAGAGGAAGTGAACCCGGCACTTCCCTGGAATTAGTCTTAACAAAAAATAAAATTAAAAAAAAAGGCTGTAGCAGGGAGAGACCTTGGCCATGCATGATTAGGCAAGAGTATGGAGGCTGCCTAGACCTTCCACCCTCCTTTTGGCCATTGAGACCATTGAAAATCCAGACCGAGTCTGGAGCCTCAATGGCTATAGTTAGACGTGCCTCCAGGACTTGAACCTGAGTCTCCCACGTGGCAGATGAGGATCCTGGTAACCTTTTGCACATGCACCCTAATCCAGAAGCATTGACTGTTGCCTGCTACATGGAGAGATGGGACCAGCTTCCCTTCCAAATGCAGGGGTTCGTTTACCGCCCTCCACCCCATATTTCTGGGATCACGGGCTCGGTGAGAGGTGTGGACAATTCAGACTTTTCCCCAGCAATGTACCACGCTGCCTTTCACATACACTGCCCTTTGATAAAGGAAAAACATTTTCACCAAGTGCTGATTGCTAATTAAAGCGCCCGACCCTGGGTGGTCTCCAGAACGTAGACTTCTCATGGTGCTGGCTCACTCAGCTGCTAAGCACCATGGAAAAGAGCTAAAACTACACTAAAATATTACTGTGCTGTGCTACAGGAGTGATCTGATCACCGTGATGGAGGGTGGGGATTAAGCTTGTGAGACCAGGGGGGCAGCTTCCCAAATCCAATTAAATTTGAAGTCTGTGCTATGGAAAATGTTAACTGCTGCTGTATTAGTGTTGTCCATCAGCATAATGAATAGCGGCCTTAAGCAACCACAAAAGGAATATGAAAATCAGTTATCCAGCATTGAGAAGCTAAAAAGGGAGGACAAAAGTTTACTAGGAGCTTTGCAAAGCCCATGCCCATTAGGAAAGGATGGAGGCTGTGCTCTTTTTTCCTCTGTTGACAATAAATTAGCTACTTCACGTACAATACAGACACTATACTAACTACAGGCACTACTTTGTGGACTTCCTTTATTCAACCTTTACTCATATAAATGAGATTACCAAAATTTTGGGCTTCTTGGAGTCATCTTAAAGTTTCAACTCCTGGAGTCATGTTACATGAAAGCTCATCTTTTATTTTAAAAAATAAGTTTCTAACCCTTGTCACTGCAGCCAGGAAACTGAGCCCCAAAGATCCAAAGGCCAGTAAAAAAGAGCCCAAAACATACAGCTTGGGAAAAAAATGCACTGAAGGGAAATGACTGAAAAATTTGATCACTTGAGGTTGGTTTTGAATGTTCGTTTTAAACAAACATTGAGAAGAGTGAAGGAGCAGGCTGATGCTGTTAGGATGTAATGCTACTGTGCCTTGGGCCTGTGTTTGAAGTCTCAGTTTGGCAAGACGGCCACCGGCAGCAGGGGCGGTTTTTAATCCAGTAGTGGCGCTAAAGACCTGCAATCCTGTTTTGTCCTTTCCAGTTGGATCTGACATTTGACCGACTCCATTTTACCCCCACACTCCAACCGTGCTATTTCAATGAACAAAATTAAATAGGGCTAAGAGCATCCTGCCCGGTCCCTCCTCTGCACCCACCACGGCCAACGTGAAGGTGGACACCTACGGTGTGGAGGAGCGTGAATCACAGAGCTCATGGTGCCTGGCAGGACATGTCCGGGGAGAGGCTCCAGGCTGAGGCTGGGAGGTCCTGGTTGGTACTGGACATCAATAGTGGTCCCTGCAGAGGAGAACGGAAGAGAAGTCGCTCTCACACTTACTGAATGGGAAGCCAGCAGCCGCATTGCAATGACGAGTCTTGTCTATTTTTGACGTGGAAGAGCTGCTTGCGGGTGGGACACACTTATTTAGTTGTCTTTGCCCTTGCCTAGTCGCTGGGACTTTTCACCTAGGCCTTATCTCCAACCTATCCAGACAAAGCCTTGGAGTGCTGCCGTGATGCACAGTGTGCCCACGCTGCGGAAACAAGGCCCAGAAATGAGTGCAGCTGCAGCTCCGAGGCATGTATCCAGTGCTACGCCAAGCCAGCAGCCTCTACGTGCATGGAGCAGACATGCCATGCTTCATCGTGTCACTCCCCAGCAACCATCTGGAGGTGGTGTAGGTACACCCAGTCTAACCGAAGAGCTGAACTGTGTATTCCCACTGTTGTAGTTGCTAATGAGTCACTTTGCAGCTATGTTGGCATCGGCTCCACATAGGTTACAACTCTTTGCATGAATGGTTCCCTGCAGGTAAGCTCAGTTTATGATGCAAGAGCAGGTACTCAGCTGGCATGAATCACCGGAGTTCAAGCCACTTCAACAGAGCTATGCACCTTTACACCTGATGGTGACAAGGCCTTGAGGGGTCTTTGATACTAGGCTTAAGTCTGAAGAGTTTCCTGAGCCTCTCCTAAAACAGTTTTGGAGCTAGTGCTAGTGTTAATAGCTTTTGAAACACGCCCTTGTCAAGGCACATGTCAGAACATGTTTAAAACTGCAGCTTTTGCCAAAACCAAAATGTTTTTTTGCAGAGACAGTGATGGCATCCTTTCAGTTGACCTATTTCTACAAAACTTTCCCTGGGAAGGTTTTAGGCCATGTGCCACAGCCTAAAGTTGGTTGGAAGCCAGCACCGGGTGGTATCGTGAAGACTAACCATCCTGCCCTGCCTTCTGCTTGACTTTGGACTACCGCAGCTAGCTCTCTTTCTCTCGGGTTGGGCAGTTCAAGATGCAAAAGACCGAGAAACAAGTCACTCCTCTCCCTTTTTTGGAGCCAGGGACTTGAACCTCAGTTTTTTGCTCCCCACGGCACTACCAAAATCCCCACTCTTCCATTTTCTCTATGTATAAGTGCGCTCTCCGTTGTAGGGCAGCGGCAACCCCATCCATTGCTACCTCAAAATGATTGCTTGCTCAGTCCGGGGGCTCTTACCTCCCAGAAGCATCTCCTGCAGCAAGCTGTCAATCCGCGCCACGCCAAAGAGTTTCACAAACTGGACCTGTTCAATCATCTGCCAAGTGATGCTCTGCAGCGGCGGCAGGAGGAGAAGGATGTCGCTGAACCTCCCTCGGGAGTCGTACTGCCGGTCGTTGATGTAGTCCTCCAGGTTAACCTGTACCTGGAATCGCATGTTCTTCACCTTCCCGGGCTCACTCAGGCCTTTGCAATCTGGGAGAAAGAAGAACAGCAATAAGAACTATTTATATCTGCTCTGTAAAGGAAAGATTAAACACAGGTGACCTTTTTTTAACATCTATCTTTTAGACCACATGTTGCGACGCCTCCAGGGTAATATGACAGCTCAATGTTAACCTGTCGGTAGTTCACATCTGATTAAGATAAAAAATATCAAGAAAGAATGGTAGGAAAATACAAGCTCGAGTCAGGTGGGTATGTCTGGCTGAAACCATTAACACTCAAAAGGCAAGGAAAGTTTTGGGTTTTTTTAATAGGAGCTTCTGATTATTTTTTGTCTGCTTCTTAATAAATGGCCTGATTTCCCAGAAGGGTTGAGCACCCAGCTGAACCCACTGACCGCAAGGCGTGCTTAGCACTTCAGAAAAGCAGGCCATTTCTTTTGAAACTTAAATACGGATTCAGGAGCCTGTCTTGCCTTTCAAAAGCCTTGGCTGTGATTTTTAGTGATTGGTGTTCATCAGGATAGGGGAGGTCTCTCAAATCACTCAGAGAATGTGGGTTCCTGAACTGTCTCACCAAAGTGTTGTAGATAAAGCTGAGTGGATCGGGAGCGATTCAAAGGTGAGGCCACCAGGAATAATCTTGTACCAGAGGCACTTCCCAACCACAGGGCAACCTGGAGTGGGACGGAGCCTTTCGGCTGTGCCAACGACTCAAGGGACCTTGTGGTGTCTGCCTTCTTTATTGCAGAGCATGATGTTTATGCAACCTTTACTTGCACTGCAATTTTCCGTGAGTCCTTAATAACCTTGTCCTCATCTAGTGGCCTGGAGAGTGAGTTGCTGGGAAATTCCCAAAGACCTGAGCAGCTACAAACACTGCTGGACTTGTCGGATGAGGAGCCTGGCACTTATTCTGCTTGAGACAACGATCATCAAAGTGATGGAGTAAGGAGCCACCCTGAGGGGCATTGCTTCATGTCTGTGTTTCTCCAGACACAAGAAATGGCTAAAGGGACCGTAATGTAATACAAGGACCATACGGTGACAGGTAAGAGTCCATAGAAAAATATATCTCTCGCTTGTCTTTGTCCTAGCTGTAAAGTGGACGTAGTGCTTCCCCAGCTAGATAGATTGAGGTGTGAGGCAAAGCCCTGATCTATGATGGCAATAGGTATCCAGCTGTGACTGAGTCCTAGGGCCACTTGATAAATCAGCCATCCCCAAGGGCTGTCCCCTGGGGAAGCAAAGAAAGGAGGCCTGGTTCACCTGGTGTCCTTCTCTAGCTTTCTCCATAAGCAGAAGCAACACCGAAACCTTTTCCTTTCCTGCAGTGGTGCCAAAACCTGAGGCTGCAGCATCCGATTTGGGTCTCAGCTCTCTCTAAATTCAGCCTGTTGCTCTCGTTGGTGTATAGACTGCAACTGATGTCACAGCTGGTTGTATATTCACATTATGTCACTGTTATACACAAATGGCACTGGTTACAGCCGGTAAAAACACCTGCATCTTCAATTCAGGTCAGCAACGGTCGCCAAAAGTTGGGGAGAATCTCTTCATGTCTCCTTTCTAATTAGAAATACACCTCCAGTTTCATAAGTCAGGTGACATTTGTGTTTTGCTCTTAAAAAAGCTCAAATCAGTGTTAATTCTCCTTGAATAAATAGGCAATGTTCCATGACCACCACATGCGGTCCAACCTAGAGGGACGTTGGGACTGAAAGAGCCCTAAGCAACCGGTTCAGGGTAGGTTATCTCTTTGCAGCTCTGTGTTCATGCAGGTACAATAGGAAGGGCTCAGATGCTACCATGACAGATCAGGTGAGTCACACAGATAGGTGCATGCTGGGGGAACAGGCAGCTAGACAGGCACAGCTATGTAGGGGCATTTTATCTCGAGAAGCACCGGGTGTCTAGCCTCTACGACAAGCTGCACCTTTGGCTTGCACCAGAGGGTTACATCCTCTTGGTACTGAGTCAAAGGATTTATGTCTAAAGGGTTACAAGCATCCAGGATAGCAGCAGGAACTGCACGTACTTATGAGTGCTCATGATCTAACCTTGTGTGGCTTTTAATGCTCCTCTGTTCCCTGCGTGGCTGCCTGGTCTGTGGCAGAGCTGATTCACAAGCCTTCTGCACCATTCAGGCATGGCCTTTCGAACTGATGCGTATCACTGAGGCCAAAGCTCAATTCCTGCAGAGTTTTGCATGTCTCTCAGGCAGGCGCTAGCATCTTGTAAATAATGGAGAAATGGGCAGGAAACAATCACTTGAAACTTGCCCCGACTGCACCTCCTGCAGCAGGTGATCAGTTGGAAAGCAGAGCTGTCTCCTGCTGTGTCTCATGGGTGCTGGGAGGCATAGTCTGGATAAAACCTTCCCCACGTTCTCAAAACACAGCTAGTCGTATCAATCTTTGTCTCCCCTCAGGGAGCCCCATCGCAAGGCTTGCAAAGGAGAGGAGCAACACAACAGGTTTGGCACTACCAAGAAATGCTAGAAGCAGTGCCATTCGGACGACATCCAAAGTGGCATTGAACTTATACACAAGTTGGGTCCAGGTTCCACTTACGGTAGACTAGGATCTCCCTGTGCATGTAGGTGCTAGAAGAGGGCTTGCCACCTTTCAGGCCAATGGTCTGGCTGTGAAAACACTGTCACTGGGAGCAAGAAACTGGATGACCTTGCTCCAAGGGGATTGGAGCGTGTATCTCCAGCTTTCTCGCCAAGCGACCTGAACACCAGGCCACAGATCAGATATTGCTCTCTTCAGCCTTCCTCCTGAAGCTGCCCCACAGCTAACTGCGTTTGCTAGACGTGAAATCAAATGCATAAACAGAATGGTTTCGGTGGGGTATGTGCCCAACCTAGCACTCAGAGTGCTGCTTTCTTGCAACCATCTCCCTGCACATCCTCTCTGTTTTAATGCTTTCCTCCTGGTCGCCTAGTGTATCCGTTTCAAGAGGTGTACTAATAAGTGCTCTAGATAAAAAAAAAAAACCAGTAGGTTGGCTTCTGCCTCACTTAGGGCCAGAAACCTCACCCAGCCACAGCAACAGCCATCTCACTGAGTCACCCTCTCCGCTGCTGCTCCTCTTGTAGCTGGCTTACAGGGCACCCCAAAGGGAAAGCTGTGTGGGGCCAGGAAGACCTGTTGCAGCAAGCAGAGGAAAACCTTCTGCCTCATTCAGGTACTGAACCTCCACCCTCATCAAGCCAGCTAGACACCCACTTTTAGCCTCAAATATCATCACTCCCTGGTCTTCCAGTAAGCCAAGCTTCAAGAAGAGAGCTGTCAGATGCTCCATGCAGCCTGGGGAGTACAGCGCTGTGCTGGGAAGCCAAAGATACAGGTTCAAAGCTCATTGAGTAATGGGTTTGAAGCGAGAGGCTATTGGGCTAAAGGATGGGGAGAGTCCTTCTCTCCCCCCCACCTGTTTTTTTGGCAGCTAAAGCTTCTGAATTAGGTGTTATGTGTAGGCTCAGGCACCCACAGTCAGGCTGCAGCCTACTGAGCATGCTCAGTAGAGCAGCACAGGTCCTAGTTTTGTCAAACTCAAATCTTAAGTGCCAAAAATTGCCATTATGCAGCTACTAATTGCTGATTTCATAGACATTCGGGCTGGAAGGGACCTCGCAAGATCATCGGTTCCAGCCCCCTGCCCCAGGGGCAGGAAGTCAGCTGGGGTCAAAGGATCCCAGCAAGACTGGACACTTTCAAGAAACGTTTGGATGCCTCAGGTGAAGGCAGAATAAGATCGGACTCCTTATCATCCTGGAATCGATGCCTTTTCATGCCTCGTTGCAACCACTCCCATCCCCTTTTATTTCCCTTTGGACCTTACTATCATGGTGATGCCTCAGTAAATCTTACCTGGGTCAAAGAAGATGATGGCTTTGAGGCAAGCATACTCATTATCGTCGATCTGAATGTCCCGGAGGGGTTTCACCAGCTCATCCAGGATCCTCATGGCTACACGAGCAATTTCCATCTCTGGGCAGTGCATCGGGATGATGAAGTCATTCCCTGCGCAGATGAGAGAACATCTGTATCACCCGATTGCAGCAGATACAGCGAGTTATCAAACCCCTGCTTCTTCGGCTGGCCAGAGCCCTGTTTTCAGACCGCAGCACATCCCCATCCGCCTCATTTTCATGTATAATTTCATAACGCAATGTGGTAGCACATGCATCTGTGTCCTTAATTACCCACTGAGCTTAGAATATGCCCCACTAGTTAATACGTGTTGATTTAGAGACATTTTTACCCTTTGAGTGTTCATGTACCAAAACAATTATGAAAGTGGGGACTTGAACCTGCATGTCACACTCCCTAGAAAAGGGCATAAGCTACCAAGCCACAGGCTTGGCATTACTCAGTGTATTCTCCAATTCTCCTTTTGAAGCTTCCCCTCTGACTAGCTGGTAGGATAAACTGTACAGGGCCAGGAGGGATGGTGGCTCATTGCAGTTGGTGGGTGGTAGGGGGAGTTTGCTGATGTCTCATACTTTTGGATAAACAGTTCAGTATTTAAAGCTGAGACTATTTTTCCTATGTGCAAGATGAAATGCCAAGGAATTATCTGACGTGGTATTTTCCTCTATGTTTTATCTAACTCTTTAGTATTTCTAAAGGGCCCATCACCTTGCTTTCAAAGCACAAGGATGGAAATGCTCATTTTCTCAATGCTCAGTCTGTAGGGCAGATTAATATTGGTGGCCAGGTGCTGGCTCCTCGGGAAACATCACTGCGTCTTCAGCTTCAAGTCACTGAGCAGATTCAATGAAACTGGACTGATCCATGCATGTGCGGCATAAGGTAGGATCGGTCTGTTTTCTATGATTGTATGAAAGATGCCAGAAAGATAAGTTTGGAAAGGACCTCAGGAGGTCACATCTAGTCTAGTCCCCTGCTCAAAGCAGGACCAGCCCCAACTAGATCATCCCAGCCAAGGCTTTGTCTAACCACGTCTTAAAAACCTCCAAGGATGGAGTGTCTACCACCTCTCTGGGTAACCTGCTCCGGTGCTTCAGCACCCCACTAGTGATCCAACCACAACTTCCCTTGCTGCAACTTAAGATTATAGATGTATCCTAGCCTGGATCCATTCAGGGAGTTTTACAGAGCCAACAGCATGCACATTATCACTACATTGTCTTCCCAGGGTGAGCCAATCTCCATGGCCATTAAAAACCTCTTGAGAGCGGCTGCGAGGCAACACAGGCAGGATGCCAGAGAAGGAGAGTCCTGGCTTCTGGCTGTTTTGTATCAGGTCAGACAGGGGGCTCACTGGGAACCACATGCATGAACCTGTTTATCTTCTTTAAA